GAGTAAGTGTTAGACTTTTTATCTCCATATATAAGTTTTGAGTTCCTTTTAAACTTTCCAATAATATATGCTTTACTTATTAAAAAAAATTATATTAAATTGTAAAAATATGTAAATTATATTTTAATTAAGTTAAAGGAAATAAAGAATATAAAAATTTAAGTACCAGTGAATATAAAAATCAAAATCAAAATTGTCTATACGACTACCAATAATTTTTTAAATCACAAATATAAAAATTGTGAACAAATTATAACAATTCAATAATAAAATAATATTAATTTTATTTTAAGAATATTTTATATTATTTAAATTAATATTTAAATAAATTTATGATAAATTTAAATAAAATAGATAATATTAATAGAAATAGTAGTTGAGACTAAATAAAGTAATATTGTATTTAATAATTACTTAAAATAAGGATTAATTAATTAAATTAGAATCTTGAAAAGCATATTAATTCTTATAATTAAATAAATTGAAAGTTTAAAAATTAAAAAAATATGAAAAGGTTTATAAGATACACAAATTTAATATCCATTAATAATAAAAAACATATTAAAAATATAATAATTAAAAGAAAAATAAATATTTATTAATTAATTGATATTAATGATATGATGAAAGTAATGAATCATATTTAAAAAATTATTATTTTTAATATTTTTAATTAAAAATTAAATTAATTTATAAAAGCAGTTGAAAAGTTGCTTGGGCAGCTATTTCTATATTATGGTAATATGAAAAGATATAATAATTAAAAGAGAAATTAAATAAATAGTTATTATTGATGACAATGTGGGAAAAATTAAGAGTATAAAAGGTAGTATTAATTTTATTAACTACTTAAAAGGGGAACTAACTAATTAATTATTATTGATGGCAATGAGAAAATGTAAGAATATTTACAATGAGAAAAAATTTACAATTATTAATAATAAATATTTTATTAAATAAAATAAAATAAATAAATTTAATTAAAAATAAATTATGAAAAATAAAAAATAATATTAAATTAGAATAATAAATACATAATATAGAAAAGAATTACTTGATCGGGAGTTTACGTGGGAAAAGTAAGAGTAGTTCAAGTAATATTAATTTTAATAACTACTCGAAAGAGGAATCATTATTTAATATTAATGAGAAAAATATTAGAATATTTAAAATAATATTACCTCTTATAATTTTAAAATTGTTGGAAGGATATGCAAACTTAATATGACTGACAATCGTAAATGAAAAGTTATAACATGTTAAAAAATTAATTAATTCATATTAATTGCACTATGATAAATTAAATATTTAAAGTGTGATAAATATCAAATTACTCAAGTAATTATTATGTCCAAAGTTCTTACTAATACTAATAAATCTTTATAAATATTAAATTTTACTAATTTAACTTTGACAATCGTAACATTTTTTATTTAATTTCTGCACTGATATTTTTTTAAGATATTAATTGATTACAAATAAGGACCTCAATTATACACAATAAACTAAATTAAATAAAATTTGAATTGATTTATCTAAATTTATGTATAAAGACTTAAAATAGACTTTATTCTGCTAGTGATGAATAGATTAAAATAAAATAAAAATTCTTATAATATATTTTTATCGTCAGCCCTTAAAGATCAAAGTGATAAATGGTTGAAAAATTTAGAAACTAACTATAAATTTTTAAAATATTTAAAATTAAAATATTTATCACTTAACAACTAACATCATAGTTTGTTGATATATTATAATTTTGTGATTCTTGTTTTGACATAATATCTCTACAGATTACTATCTCTATACTCAACGCAACCTCAAATTTAAGTTTCCACTGAGAATGATGAAACTAAAATAACTCCAGGGGTCGTAAGGGGTATACATAGGTTATCAAACCAAAATAAAAATCATAACAATAATATTTATTATTATCGTAAAAATTGTTCTCAATAAAATTATATTTTTTATTTGTGAGAAAATGTTGATTGTATTGAATGAATCATAATATAAAAGTAATTATTTTAAATATAATTTTTTGAAAATTGTACAAATCAATCAAACAAGTATATGATTTAATTTTTTGTAATGAATGAAATGTTCTTAAAAGAAATTTCTGCAATTAATCAATAAAATATTTTAATAAATCAAATTCACACTCTCGAGGTTGAATATAATTTTTTTTTTCTCTTACGTTACTTTTTTTTTCTATTTCTCTTACATTACTTTGATCTTCCTTAATTCATATAATCTTAGAAAAAAAAAACTTATGATATTTTGTGTAATCAATAAAAGTATGATGTTATATCATTACATAAATTAAGATAAATTTGTGCTAAGGTGTAATAATAATGATAAAAAAAGATTTGTTAAGTAAAATTTTGTTAAATCTTAGATAGGAGTGTAATTTATTCAATATCTATATTACAATCAATCAATTAAATATATAATTTGGTATATTTTAAATAGGTTAAATGAATCTTTTTCATTTCTTAATTTTAAGATAAAATTCGATTTCATTCTCTAATTTTTCTTTTGATTCATTTATGTTCTCAAAATTTATTTTTTTCCCTAGATTAATTTTTTCCGTTAGCTCTAAAAAAAATTTATTTAAAAAATTATTAAAAAAAAGTGAAGTATTCCATTTTCCCTCTTTCCTTCCCTTCTCCTTCTTGCTCCATTAGCCCTTCTCCTCCTTTTTCAACTCATATCCCTTTCCATAGTTTCTCCTCCCCTTTCTCACAACACCCCTTTCTTCCTCCAGCTCTACGTTCCTTCTTTTCCTTCTTGTTCCCTTTCAACTTTTTCAAGTCTTCTTTCTTTCCTATCGTTATCACTCTCGCAGTCCATTTCCCCCCTCGCAGCCCCTAATAAACCTCTAACAAGTGAGAACATTGAATACAAATAACTAAAAACTTATTCACGCCTTGTTAAAGAATTGATTTAATGTTTCTTTGTATGTTTTGTTATTTTACAAGATTGAATTCTCTTTTGAACATTGAGTTGGATCATGCACCTTATTGTATTGTAATTTATTTTTGGACTAGTTTCTACCCTCCTTTGCAATTATAACTAAAAATTAATAATGATTCTTACACTGCTTAAATTTGAAATTCTACTGGAAAGAATCAAAGGAATCTTCTCCTTAGAAGTTAAAATTATTGGATGAATGCAACTGACTAAAATTTTGGCAAGCTATTAGAAATAAACTTATAGCAAGTTACCTCCATAAGTGGTGCATGGAAGATTTGGGATAGCAGTAAACATGTGTTTTGTTTTGCAAGAAAGGGAGTTTAAGAGGGGTCTGGAAGATTTAAGATATCAAAACTTGTGAGAGAAAAAGAATGAGAGGAGAGAAGGAAGTCGTGGGAGAGTTGAAAGGGAGCAAGAAGGAAAAAAGGAAACACAATGCTATGGGAGAGGCACGGTGTTGCGAGAAAGGGGAGGAGAAACTCCAAGAAAGGAAAAAAAGAGGCTACGAGAGGCGGAGGCAAAGCTTGTAGGTTAGGGGCAAAAGGGTAGGCCAATAGGAAGGGGAAGGGGAAAGGGAAAGGAGAAGGGAAAGCTTCACTATTTTTTAATAATTTCTAAAATAAAAAAGTTCACGCTGAATTAAATAAATGATATTAAGGTTATCTTAGCACCATTTAAGATATCTATGTTATGTCATATAATAGAGTTATCAGAAATGACTAACCTGAAAAAAAAATTTAAGAATGAAAATAAATAAAAAGAAGTTAGAGAAAGAAATCAAATTTTATCCTAAAATTAAGGGATGAAAAGACTAATTTTATCTTTTAAATATGAGTTATATATTATACTAATTATTATACAATTATTTAAATTAAAAATAATTCTTAAATAAATTAAATATATAATTAGGCATATATAATATTATGAACTAAAAGTTTTTTTAATCAAATTTTATAAATATTTTTAAAATTTAATAATTAAAATATATTAAAAAGTAATAATATAATTCTCATTTATTAAATATAATTAATTTCATGTATAACACGGATAGACTAACTAGCTAACATAACAATAAAATAAAATTATATTTGTTTTTATTTGAAACATTAGTCATGAAGTCTAATTATCACTTAATTTTAATGATTCTAATACTGATTTTTCTCCATATATAATAGATTTTACCTGGTTCGCAGATTCTTTAAGCGCCATTGTATTTTCATAATTGAAATATTTTAATTTTAATGAAGATTATCTTAATAATATATCTTTTATACGTTAAAATAACTCTAAAATACTAACAAAGACACCGTAATTACACATTATAATGAAACACTCAATAATCACTACTTCTCAGCCCATTATTTCTCGAGTATGAATCTTTTACAGTTGGAGAGAGAGAGAAAAAAAAAAGAAAAATATCTATGCTTTATTTTATTTTTAAAATAATAATATTATTCTCTCTCATATTTAATAAATAAAAGATCATTTACTATATTTTACTCTCAACTCTTAAGTTTAGGATTTTGGAACATTAGAAAAATACTAGTAAAAAATTTAATTAGTCAATTTTTATTAAATATTATAATGCTATAATAACAAAATATTAATTGTATAATATCAATAATAATTAATTCTTTCTTATAAAGAAAAAATTATACATTGCGATGAGGATGAGTCAAATTTGGTTGAGTATCTTATTAAAATCACAAAACAATAGATAAAAATTAATTTGTGCATTTTATTCTATTTTAAGATGAAATAAAATAAACCATCACTATTGATATGGGAAGTTTGTAACTCAATCGATTTGATTTAAGAGTTTAACGATCGAGAGAAAATCTACATCAATTTGACTATTATTTTTACATAAAGATTCACATAATTGAAATATTTAAATTTATTTTATTATTATCTAAGGCACCACATTCACACAATTCCATAAACACCCTCACTGAATCGTGACTATAAAGAGACTAAGAGTGTGGTAGCTTGTGGCAACACATTTGAGCTTGTTTTCATCTAAGATAATGGCGCGTAGTTTGTCTCTGTCTCTGGCTCTTGTTTTGCTATTCATTTGCAACACATCGTTCTCAAAGGCTCTCAACAATGGTTTCAGTGTGGAAATCATCCATCGTGACTCATCAAAATCACCGCTTTACCGTCCCACAGAAACTCGTTTTGAAAGAGTTGCCAATGCAGTGCGTCGTTCAATCAACCAAGCGAGTCGTTTGAGCGAACGAAACGCAGCGGAGGCAACTGTAACGGCAGATCGTGGTGAATACCTTGTGAGCTATTCAGTTGGAACCCCACCGTTCCAACTCTATGGGATTGTTGATACGGGTAGTGACATCATTTGGCTGCAATGCCAACCTTGTGAAACATGTTTCAACCAAACAACTCCCAAGTTTGATCCTTCGAAATCCACCTCGTACAAGACCCTTTCTTGTTCTTCTACTACTTGTCTATCCGTGCGAGACACCTCTTGCTCCTCTGATGATGCCAAAATTTGTCAATATGCTATCAACTATGGGGATGGGTCTCACTCACAAGGAGATCTTAGTGTGGACACCCTCTCATTAGGCTCCACCAATGGCTCTCCCGTTAAATTTCCTAAAACGGTGATAGGTTGTGGACACAGCAATACTGTGTCGTTTCAGGGGAGAAGCTCCGGCATAGTCGGTTTTGGGGGTGGACCTGTGTCGCTCATATCGCAGTTAAGTTCTTCAATAGGTGGCAAATTCTCGTATTGCTTGGCACCGATGTTTTCACAATCCAACTCCACTAGCACACTTAATTTTGGAGATGCTGCGGTGGTTTCTGGTGAAGGGAGTGTCTCGACCCCCATTGTTTCAGGTGACTCGAAAGTGTTTTACTACCTAAACTTGGAAGCGTTTAGCGTGGGAAAGAAGAGAATAGAGTTTGGAGGGTCGTCCTCTGAATCTGGTGGAGAGGGGAATATCATAATTGACTCGGGTACTACACTCACTCTTTTGCCAGATGATGATTACCAGAAACTAGAATCAGCAGTGGCTGATGCTATCAAGTTCGAGCGTGTTGAAGACCCAAGTCAACAATTGAGCCTTTGTTACAAAACAGCATCAGATCAATTGGATGTACCAATAATCACAGCACATTTTAGTGGTGCAGATGTCAAATTGAATGCTGTCAACACCTTTGTTCAAGTTGAAGATGGGGTTGTTTGCTTGGCATTCCATTCAAGTCGAATTGGCGCCATCTTTGGCAACTTGGCTCAGCAGAACCTCTTGGTTGGCTATGACCTCCAAAAGAAAACGGTCTCTTTTAAGCCCACAGATTGTACCAAGTAGTCATCAATTATTGTTGTCTGTTTTTAGTCTATACATGTTATATCAATATCGATTGCTGCAAATAAACAAAATGAAAGATACTGCGTTAGCATTATTCATTTTGTTATGTTAACAAAGGATTGTATTTGTCTGTCTTAATGTGAATTATCACTTTATATATTTTGTAAAAATTTATGGTATATTTGTCAATTCTTATTCATAACTCGGAGTATGTATGAAAAGAAAATAAAATGCTTTAGTTCGTTGCATTATTGTTGATCATTCATGATAATAAGAGACAGACTCTATTTAGTGCAGTGTGACTATTCTTATGAATTTTGAATGAATTCTATTTTTTATATTATAAACAATTTTCACTGTAGTTTTACATCATTCTTAACAAGTATTTCGTGTATTCTGTGGCATAAATGCACATGAAATATTAAAAAATGTACATTTTTTAAAAATAAAAAAAGTATTGTATTCATAATCAAAATTTATATTGAAAAGCTTAATTATTAGAGAATAATGATTTTAAAATTAATCTAATTATCAAATATAATATAATCTTCAGGATGACTCACAAATATCCCAAAATACTGAGCGTTGAATAAACTTTTTAACATCGATTAAATAATTAAGAAAAATAAAAATTACTTTTAGTTGGATATATAGTTAGTTAAATAGTCTAATATCATTATTTTCTAGAGATAATATTTGTGCACTATATACACTAAGTAACATGATAAGATTAGACAGACTAAATAAAAAATGGATAAGAAAATGCAAACAAATTTCACTAACAAGTGTATATGATAAGAATTAAATTCAAATTTGAGCTACCACTCTTACATATGGTCTGTTGAGATGGCGAAGCGATACACTGAAGTGGATCACATGCAAAGTTTATGAGAAAAGGGGTTGAATTGTGAACTTCAAAGATTTTGCCAAACTAAAATTTTATAGAAAAGGAAATAGGAAATCAATTATTTGCAGAAAATTTCATAAAAAAGTACATTGGTAGTAAAATCTATAGGAAACGATCAATTTGCAGGTAATTTTGAAAGAAAGTGTATTTGTAGCCAAATCTGCAGAATATGCATTTGTAAGAAAATTTGCGAAAAATCAACAATTTTCCAAAAATTGTGTAAAAAATGTAATTTGAAATAGGAAAAAATATTGCATGAAAATTTGTAGAAAAGCTATCCTGCATGAACATGTGTAGAACACAATCAATTTATTGAAAAAGAAATTTTGAACCAAAATTTGCAAGACAATATCTACATGAAAATCTGTAAGAAATAAAAAAACTTCAAAATTTGCAACAAATAGTTGTAGAAAAATCTGCAAAAAAAGTTTACCGGCAAATTTTTTTTTTGCATTTAAAACAAAAAAAAATTCTTTCAAATTCTTATACAAATTTCAATATTGTCAAATTTTTTTAAAAAGATTGTAGGTAACTTTGTGAATCTTATAAATTTTTTAAGATGGTTGTGTGTGTGGATTGCCATGGTAATGCATAGAAATTGCAACGAGTTCTACATCATCGTTCTCTTACCCATTTGTTCATCCCTTCCTTGTCTCCTCATTCTCCTAGTTGGCATAGCAAAAGAGTGTTAACATGCACCTTTGTTTTTGTGATCCTTAGAATAATAAGGATTAAATACCTCGAGTAATTAATATTCAACTTTTCTAATATTGCATGTCGTAGTTCCTGACAATTACATCAAAATCCTGTTGCAGGGACCGAGTAAGATTTTCCTTTAACTGAACATTCTAACATGATCTAACTCTAAATGATTAATTAGAAGAAAAAATAATAAGATACGAGACTTATCTTTTAGAAGAAAAATATATATATTACTCTTAATGTGGCATTTGCGTTATTTAGTATCTTTCTCTTTTTCAAAAGAAAACTAGTAGTAAGTAATAATTTTGTTTTAAAGCCTAAAATAAAGGCTTTACATGATTTATGTAAAGACTGGTCTTGGATCGATTTTAATCTTGTTCCATTTTCACCTGTAGTTTGGAATAAGATAAAATTCATCAATAAGAGATAATTACATTTTGTACTATCTATTTTTAATAATTCCACCTCTCTTCCAACATTACCACTATGAAAACAAGCTATACAGCTGATTCCTCAAAATCTTTAACTTCTTTGTACATTTGAAAACATTTCATATATAAATTCTTGAAAGATCGAGTATTTGATATATTCCAAAGCCACACACACTGACTAAAATTATATTTTAATCTAAAAAAATAGTTTTGGATAAAACTAATTGTTTTTCTAAATAAATGTTCAACCAATTAGCAAGCTTACTATTACATGAACAATATCGAATTTGTTAATTCAGAAGTCAAACATGTTAGAGCTCCACAAAATACTTGATCAACAAAAATTAAGACAACCATTGGCATCCCTTTTCTTTATTGACAACAATACTTTTTTCAGAAACCAATGCAAACATTTTATTATTAATAGTGACAATGCTATTATGTTACATTATCTTATTGAGTGAAAAATGAAAATTTCAATTATGCAGCAACTTTTCTAACTCAAATTCTGTACGAGAAATTGACTAAGGAACACTCCTCAATCATGTGATTCTTAAACAATGCTTTCAAGAAAGGGGTAGTCAGTATAACCTATAACTGGATCAGAAGTGTAGAAAGTGTCCCTATTGTGCTTGTTTAGTGGTGCATCAAGCTCAAATCTCTTAGGCAAATCTGGATTAGCCAAAAACAAACGACCATATGCAACAAGATTTGTCCTGTTCTCAATCACAGCCCTGTTGCCTTCTTCTCTATCATAACCCCCAGCAACAATAAAAGTGCCACTAAAAGCCTTCTTCATTGGTACAAGGCTATAAGGGCTTTCTTTATTTTCTCCAGATATGTCCCATCTTGGCTCAACCATGTGGCAATAAAGAACACCATGTTTGTTAAGAGATTTGACCATGTAGAGGCCCAAAGCTTCAGGGTTAGAATCAACACATTCATTGTAGTCTGAAAAAGGTGATAGTCTCATTCCAACTCTATCTGCCCCTATTTCTTGAACAACAGCTTCAACAACTTCTAGTGCAAAGCGGCAACGATTCTCTAGAGACCCACCATATTTGTCTGTTCTGTTGTTAACTTGATCTTTCAAAAATTGGTCAATTAGAAAACCATGTGCCCCATGGATCTCAACTCCATCAAAGCCTACAACCACAATTTAATATCATGACCATCACAATGAGGTGTAACACTATACATATATACATGAACACAGAAATTTATTGAAAAAATTTATTAATTAAGGTGTAGTACATTTGTGCTACTTAGTTATGTTTCAATTCATTTCCCTTTGTTAAATTGTATGAACCATGTTGAGTAACAAACCTATGGCATATATATTCCTTTCCACAATAATAGCCTATCATGTAGCCTTCAGTGTTACCAATAACTAATATGAAGATACATTAAAATTCCTATATTTGTCTATTGTAGTTGGTGATTTACCTGCTTCCATAGCATTCCTTGCAGCAAGTCTGAAGTCATTGACAATATGAGGAATTTCATCTGTTCTTAGCTGCCTTGGTTTCAGGTCATTACCATCTTGTGCCAGTGGCTTGTTAGTTGATGATATTGGAGCTTGCCCATTTGGCTTAAAATCTGCAGAGAAAATTGAACAAAATATGATCAATTATATTCTACAAAATTGACTAAGAAATAGTTATTTAAAATAGAATATTATCAGGAAATTGTCATCAAATTTTATATACCTGGATCTGAAACCCTTCCAACATGACAAATCTGACAGAAGAATATACCACCTTTGGCATGAACAGCATCCACAACAGGTTTCCATGCTTCGATTTGCTCTCTTGACCATATCCCAGGTGTGTTTGGATGGCTTTATACACATCAAAAGACAAAAATTTATATCCATATAAATTTGTGTTCTAAAGCTTAGAATTGATATGATATAGTTAATTGAGTTGGAAATTACTTTTGAGAAGTGGGTGAAATAGAATTAGCTTCAGCTATCAAAAGACCTCCCTTGCTAGCTCTTTGAGAGTAATATATGGCAGCATGGGGCTGAGGAACATTATTGTAAGATCTTGCTCTAAACAGTGGTGCCAAAACGATTCTGAAAATGCAAGGACAAAACAATTGCATAAACCGAACGATTCTTAACAAAAGTAGTTGTTCAAACATTGTGTTAATATCATTTATGCCACTAGAGTTTATGCATGTGCAACTTGTCCTACATCTTAGCTTATTGACATACCCTTCTTCACTGACCTAAGGTGAATGGAAATTAAAGAAACTAAATATAGAACATCGCAATAATTAAATAAATTATATATATAGACTGTGCATTGTGGATGTACCTGAAGTTTTTTAATATAAAGTTTGATAATGGTAAGAGATCTTAAAATGTAGAAAATACAAGTAGATAGTTATCTTTTAATTCACTTAAAATTTTATGGTATAATTGAATTTGATTTGGCGATAAAATGAATATTATTTAAGATCTTGACTGTGTTAGTTTTCTTTTCATATGTGGAAATAACATTTTCAACAATATGTTAAGTCCACATGAAACTTATCTATTTCATTTTTTTTAATCATTTATTTATCAGTTTCCTAACCTTATGAACAACAAATTTTCAAAGCCACATGACTAACCACTAATTACAAATCTTGTCAAAACTTTCGATTTTTAATCAGTTTTGGATTTCTCTCTGTGAAATATGTTAAATGGATTTTATTGAATATATACAATTATACCCATTTAAACTCTCTGATCTAAATCAATGTTAGGTGTAAATGTATCTAAAGTAGAATTTGTTAATGTCACTTCACATTTATGTGAGACACACAAAAGGCATAAAATAAAGAAATTGAAATGTTGAAAACTAAGATTGATTTATATGCACATAACTCTTATAGGAGCTATTTGAAATCCTCCAATATGCTAACTGGGTAGCTGAGATATCAATATTAAGGAGCTACTTGAAATAGGAAAAAAAGAAAAACACAAAAATACCTATGGGAAAGACTGAAGTTTCCCATCGTGTAAGGAGTAAGAAGAGGAATGGCATGATTTTGTTCAGGCATTTTTGGGTCGAATTATTTGTCTTCTTTTCCTTTTTGTTTTTTTTCTTCCTAATTGGTCTTTCTTCCCTTTTATTTCGATTGTGTAAATGCAGATTCAGTCATGTATTTATACATATCTGGGTGTTTACTTTGGTCAAACAAGGTTATCACAGTCAACATGTGATGATATGATGTATGAGAGTGCGTCAATTTAGTTGCATAGTTCATATTGTATGTCTCATGCTGTTTATTTTTCTTTTTAAGCAAATTCGTTTGTCAACATTGACTTTTATGTTTTCGATAATGTTGGTTCGTTGAATACTATTTATTTTTCCTTTTTACTTAAAAAACATCAAAGATGAAGAGTTTATCCCACTTTTTATTTAAAATATTTATTAATTTTGATTATTAATTTATATGTGTCTTCTATCTTTATCGTTCTGTTCATTTTGTTAAGAATGTTTGTTGGGCTGGTCTCGCTCGACATGGGCTTTCAGAAAGAAAAAGAAAACTTCATATACACTCACATATATAGTAATAGTACGTAGGTTTGTGTTTTACGATATATATATCTTTCATTAAATTATAGAACACAGGTATTATTGATATATAGCTTCATTAAGCCCTTAACTAACCTCCATCAAATTAAACAAACGTGTTAGATGTGACAAATTAAAAGTTAACGTGATAATTGTATAACTACTCATATTCATGATAGGTACTTATAAGTTAAAGAGTTAAAATAATTATTTTTTGAGAGGCAAAAAATTATTTCATAATTTTAAAAATTTAATTAAGATTAAATTAAATTATGAAATTGATCATTTAACTTCTAAAATTATGAAAAAAATTTGCAATAGTTAAGATTTTAAAATAATATTAATTAATCTTAATATGCTTAACTAACTTGCATAGAATTCATTGAATGTGTTAGATGTAATAAATTAAAAATTTATTTGTGGGGAGATAAAAGAATTATTTCATAATTTTAAGGTTAAAACTGAGACTAAGTGGCATATGGCATCATCCCCAGACTGGTAACAAACTTGGTAAGTACCATAGCCTTGAGTAAAATTTGAAGAAGGTTGAAAGGAACAATCAAAACTAGAAGAATTCCAAGTTGAAGAGAAATTAGCAATGTTGTTGTTAGGAATAGGATTTGGACCAGTATCAGTGTGTGCCACATTTACAGAGAATGCATAATAAAATAATTAAAAATAGTGAGTAATAAATTATGCTTACTGAGAAACAAATAAGTAATGAAGAACAATATGGGTCGAATAAATGACGTAATATCAGTTGCTATCTCTGTCATTTTACTTCCGTGTTCAAATTGGATTTTTCTGTCTCTCAGAATTATTAATGATAATTTGATAACTAAGTCAAATTCACAATCAATTTGTGTTCAATCAGTACTCAGCATCTTATTAAAGGAGAACAACTTTTATTTTTTTTCACATAAGAACGTGTACTAATAATGAGTCAATGAAAAGAAAGATGATGATAAATGGACCATGCACTTTGCCAAGACACTGCTTTTTTGTTGCACCGACACACTCGTCCATAAGAAAACATCGTGTTTGGATAAAGAGAAAATCATCACATATGCGTGTCATATCTATATCGTATATGCATAGATATATACAAGCGAACGTATTTGTATTCGTATTCGTATTCGCTACGTACTGCATTTTCTAACAAATTGCTTGGTTTTAGCTCATGTGAGGCAGAGACAAGCATATGGAGAATCTTATTTTCATGGCATTATAGAAAACAGCTTTACATGTAAAGTTGCTGATGTTATTGGACAAAACTAGTTTTTACTGTCCATGATCGTTGTTAGATTGAGGAGGACCCACCTAGGGTTATCAACTTGTAGCCAGATGATGATGCTATGACTTTTATTTTTTATGTGAATGAATAATAGTAGCATTGTTTTTGTTAGATTGAGGAGGAACCACTTGGCTTTTTCTAATTCAATTTAAATAGCATTTTGTTTATTATTTTGAGAAAATTATATTTGCATTTTCTAAGAGTTAATGTAATTTTATTTAATATACTACGATTATATAAATTTTAAAAGTCAAAGTCATGTAAAACAACAAATTGCCAGCTACCCAATTTTGTCAGAGCTTTTGTGTCAACTGACCCATCTTTAAAAGTCATTTTCTTTGAGAAATACAATTTGGTGACAATGAAGAGTTGCATTGTTCATCAGAAATTTTATTATAAATTAGTTTTTAAAGTGATACGAAAAAAAAAGAGTAATTATTTTAGAAAATAAAAAGTTAAGCAAAACATGTGCTTTAAGATACACTGTTGGTTCTTGATTTGAGAAGTTTAACTAATTTGAAAGGATGAAAACAAATAATGGCTTTCAATTTCAATAATGAAAATGTCAATTTCTTCTATCTTGTCTGATGATCTTGAGTATCCCATGGATCTCTCATGCTTCAATGTAATGGAACTCATCCCTGTTTGACAGATTTAAATGTCTCCTTTTCCTCGGTTGACACTCTTTTATCTTTTTTCTTTTTTCAATTTGATTCATCTATTTAAAATAAAATAATTTCTATAATATCTATAAACTTAAAAATAATATTATATCTATTTTCTATTTCTCTTTGATCGTCCCAATTTCAGGACATTATCATTCATGGCCAGCCTGTTAGTGTGTCCCGTGAAATCTAGTTTCACGATTCCTGATTTTCATACAGCGAAGTTTTTTCAATTTAAAATAGGTTTTTTTTTTATCTCATTTAATTTAGATTTGACCCAATCAAAAAATTTTATATATACAAATATCTGAATTTAAAATTTTACTTAAATAATATGAAGAAATAAGTTAGGTTTCTTTGTGAAGTTAAAATATTATATAAATTTTTTACTTATTTTTTCAGAAATAAAATATCATGTATTTAATTAAAAGAAAATAATTGAAATAAAGTTCTTGAAACAAATCCAACTGATGATGGCGCTTAAAAGAGTGTGCCGCGGGGACACAGCGGTGAATCTCAGACAGACAAACCCCACCTTCATCTACCTCTTACATTTTTCAGTTTCCAGCTCTTGCTTTCAACCCTAATTATAAAAAATCATAGTTAATATTTTTAAATTTTAAGAAATAAAAACATACTTTAAATATATTAATTATTAATTTCTTTCATAACTTTATTTTATATGATATTTATGTTAATAAAATTTATATAAACTTTTATATTTTCTTGTAAATACTTATATATATTTATAATTCTTTTTTTATTATTTTAAGTAAAAATTTTCAAAATATTTATATATCTTTAATTTCATAAAAATATACATATTTTTTCTATTAAATATTGCAAAACTCCTTATTTTTCTTTAATATCGTTTTCAAATACTTTCTCTTATATGCTTTTTTTTTAAAAAAAATAAGCTCACACATATGATTTATTGTATTTAAATACATTTTTTAATTTTTTCATACTTTACGAATTTAAAATTTACTTTTAGAGTCTTATTTTTTAAATTCATTGATCTTAATATGTGTTGATTGTTGATATTTTTTTGTACTATATGATAAAAATATTATTTTAAAATTTATAAATATATTGATCTTTTTATCATTTTTGTACGTATGGTTTGTAATTAAGTAAATTAAAATAATTTTAAAAATATTATTTAATATATATATATATATACATATATTATTGCTTTACATGCTAATTAATGGCATGAGTATTTTTATAATATAATATACATATTTTTTATTATTTGATAAATTATTTATTTTTTTATAAATAAGATTAAAGAAAGTAAACAATAAGAATTTATATATCATAAGCTTTTATTAAAAATAACAAAAGATCACAAGATGCAAAGCATTGATAACATTAAATGTTATTATTTATTATTTTTTTGTAAATGTAATTTAAATACTCTCTAATGTTACAAAGATTTTTACAGTTGTTGTCGAATTATGGATTGCTATATCAGTAAAATTCGTTATTTTTTGTCATAATTAGTATAAAAATCATATTTTTAGTGTATTTTAATTAGTTGATAAGGTGAAAGTTTTATATTAATATGTACTAAAATTAATTTATTTTATTGTATATCATTGAACATTAAAAAACTGTATACATTTTACCAATCAAAAATTAATTTTCAAAATTTTAAATAAACATACACATTTTATTAAAAACTTATAATTAAACATAATTTCATCACATATCTTAATTATATTTAAAACAACCAGATTTAACAGCTTAAAACCCAGAATTTATCTTCTTCCAGTTTTCGTCCTTTGTCAGTGTACAACTGGTTACATTTAACTTTGCGACGTGTGCAATGATGTCACTTGTTAACATGTGTTAGTCTAACAGCGGAGACCATTCAACAACAATAATAACAGTTAACCATTGTCATGCTGGCTGATCAATGATCATTACATGGATCGCTAAATTTTATGAAATATTATTTATTGTTATATTTTTTAAATTCTTTTAGATCTCTTTCAATTTTTTTTATTAGACTTTGTTATTCCCTTTTTTTCCTGATAATGACGACTGCTTTGCACGTCTTTAAGTTGCTTTAGTTGATTTTTTTTATAATAAATATCCTTTCATAAATAATCATTACCTCACTTGTTGCAGCAACTGCACTAAATAAAAGAAAAGATTTTACATGTGTCTTCATATATAACGTGTGAGAAACGAGGCCAGACCTTGTGTTTGATTTGGTTTTTTCCAATTTGAAACAAAGGACACCTTCAAGAGATTCTCTCTTGGCTGTATTGTGTGTACTTTTGGCTCCTCAAGCATTGGTTGTTCCATCTTGTGTTTCAAAACAAAGTGGGTTGAATAGATATTCTCTCACAAACATGGAAGAGGAGAATGTTAAACAACCATTGTTGGAGAATAAGTACCATAAGGACTGCCCTGGTTGTAAGGTGGATCAAGCCAAAGAGCTGAGTCAAGGACAGGGTGTACCCATTAAAAATCTTTTGATCATATGGATGGTGGTGTTATGTGCTGGTAATCATTTAAGTTTGAACTCAGTGTTTAATATTTTCACTTCTGGACAAGTTTGTTCATTCTTCAAATATGCTAATGCTACTGTGATAAGTTCTAATCATTAACGGAATGTCAAGTATCCTTAACTTGTGCAAAGGTCTTTCAGTTTGATCATGTCATGTGAGGATCATCTAACTTTTGTATGTGCTTTTGCATCAGACGTACATGGTTTCCTCCCACAGGGGTTGCTAAAGTAGCTGAAAATTCAGCAAGGTTGGCAAAAAAATGGTGTCTAATTTTGGAATTGAAACTGCATGTAAAGTTAACACGTTACCTTAATCTTTTCAACAAAATCTGCGTTACTTGTTCTTTCCTAGTTGTACCTCAGTACATCCTTTTTCTTTTCTTGGAGAAAATCAGAAAAATGATGTGTCACTACTTATAGCATGTTTGCAACCGTGTTTGAACATGGTTAAGACTTTTGCCTAATCAAACGTGAATCTGAACACAGACTCACTGGTGACTTACTGAATTTATATGATTCTTCATTTTATCTTTCTCTTTAATGTCTGAAATTGTGTACCTTGGCCTAAATGGCAGTACCCCCTATGAGTTGTTTTATGGGATTTTCAATTTTAATATTTAGGAACTGAAATCTGTGTTTGATTCTATGCCCCAGTTGCTGTGAATTTTTCTATCTTTCTGAACCGGTTGAAAATACTTTGTCCTTTTCTGACACCACTTTATTTTTTCCTCTACAGCACTGCCTATATCATCTCTCTTTCCGTTCCTTTACTTTATGGTGAGTTTAACTATCTACTGGGGTTTACTGTTATCTTTCACATGATGCATGCTCTTGTTTTTTTACTTTGTTATGTCTTTGAAATTACCTGAACGCATATGAAGGAGGACTTTTTGTTAATTTTGAGTGCTTCAAGCTCAACTACAGTGTTTATTTTATTTACATTTTTATAATTAATATACGAAGATCAGAAGTGAATTATTCCTCTAATCCGCTCATCATTAATCAGAATATTTTCTTTAATATACAAAATTACAAAGTACCCTCCATTGATTTTCAAATTTCCTCAAACAGCCATTTCTGTTCCCTCTCAACCGTGTAATTTTGAAGTCAGACTGATTATTGCAAACTGTTGGATGGGCCAATGTCATTGTCTAATTGCATGTTGCTTTTCCTTGTGCTTTCTTGTTTGTAATGCGATGCTCAAGAAATCAAACCTTTGGTTAATGTTAAACTTTAATGATGCACATAATATACATTCTCAATGATGCAACATTTATTTTCAGGTAAGGGATTTGCATATTGCAAAGACAGAAGCTGATGTTAGTTCTTATGCTGGTTATGTGGGTAAGACTACTATTTAATTTTTCCATTCTTTGAAATCTTTCATTGTTTTCTTAATAAGTTCATTATGGTGGCTATATGATAAAATATGTTGTAGGATCCGCATACATGTTTGGCAGATGTTTGACATCTGTATTGTGGGGAATTATAGCTGATCGCTATGGTCGAAAGCCTGTTCTAGTTATAGGGGTCATCACAGTGTAAGCAAATCTGTCAATGAATTGAATTTAAGTTATGCTGTGCAGTTTCCCATATTTATCAACGGTTATTTGATTTTAGTGTCATTTTCAACACACTATTTGGCCTTAGCACAACTTTTTGGATGGCTTTGACCATGAGATTTCTTTTGGGAAGTTTAAATGGTTTGCTTGGACCAGTGAAGGTACCATTGTTTTTAACACCTAAATAGTTAGCACTTCAATTTTCATCCACCAGCACCAGGACACAAAATTTGAATGTATGCACTTGGATTCATAACTTGTTTAATCTCATTAGAACTTCTGGTTTTATGTCCATTTGGCTAACTTCTCTCGTTTACAGGCCTATGCTACTGAACTTTTTCGGGAAGAACACCAAGCTCTAGGACTCTCAACTGTAAGCATCACCAACTATTGGAATTTGTATACTATTAGTTGTTAGAATTTTATTTACATAGTAATAATTCAAAGTTTGATCTTCTTTTAGGTCAGTGCAGCTTGGGGCATAGGTTTAATCATTGGCCCAGCACTGGGGGGCTATCTGGCTCAGGTACTCTATTTTGCCTAATATATGTTGCAAAAAGCTTTGAATTTCGGACATGCTCATAATGACTTGTTTTGAAAGACCTTGGCCAATAATTCTTTTCTTAATTGAGGATTAGAAAGCTTTGAAGTCCATCTCCCATGTTCAAACAAATGGTCTTGTGCATGTTTCTTACTTTTTGTGTTGTTAAGTACTAAAGTTTCTGTATATGTACACAATTGTCACTTGTTCTCTAATTCTATTGAAAAATTTTCATTGCAGCCAGTAGAGAAATACCCTCATATATTTCCAAAAAATTCCTTTTGGGATAAGTAAGTGGACAACTGGACATTTTCTGCTCTATAATTTTATGAAATTTAAGGATTCAATTTTGTCTCTCATCTTTGACCTTTATCATTTTATCCTTTAATGTTGTGCTGATCTTCATTTGTCTAAACATAAATCTTTCTGCAGGTTTCCATACTTCTTGCCCTGCTTTGCAATATCAGCAGTTTCATTTGTAGTCTCTATTTTCTGTATATGGATTCCAGTATGTATCTTAAGGCTCTAAAATATTTATTCATTAAACTACAGAATTTTCTATCTTGTCCATGTTCTGTTACTTTAATAAAACACTTTTATGATAACATTTATAAAGCAGGACCATTTTGTGTGATATTGTTTAAAATACCTGCAGGAAACACTTCACAACCACGGAAATGAATCAAAAGATGATGCTGAAGCTATAGAGAATGGAAGCAGTAAGGCTGACAGAGACGAGAAAATCCAAAAGAACGAAAACCTCCTCCTGAACTGGCCATTAATGTCATCTGTCATTGTTTATTCTGTTTTCTCACTTCATGATATTGCTTATCAAGAGGTATCAATCTTGAATAATTCTAAATCCTGATTACAAACCCTCTTAACTATTAAATGAAAAAATTATCAAATGTTTTTCATATTTTCAAGATAATAAATGCATTTATTTATTTTTTAATGTAATACATGCTTTATAAAGTAGAGGGGGTATTGTTAGGAAAATTATTAGGAGGATATTGCAAAGCTTTGCAAAGCTCATCATTCCTTGATACTTAACGAGGGTAAAATGGTCTATGCATCTCCTTTAATGGATGCTGTTTGGATTTTACCGCTTTGTATCCTGCTTTCTTCAGATTTTCTCATTATGGGCTGTCAGTTCTCCAAGGCTAGGGGGTTTGAACTTTACAACTGATGATGTTGGTAATGTTCTTTCAATATCAGGTGCACCTCTGGAACCTATAATAGCTGCTTATTAATGTTAGGCTTATATATTTCCTTCTTAACTTTCCATCCATAAAGATTGCACATAAATTTTATGCAATGCCATATGGTACTGGTTTTGTTGAGTGAATTTTTCTGATTTGGTTTCCAAACTTCGATCAAATATTTTTAAACACATCTTGGTCATGGCCATAATTTAGTGTTTGTTTTGAGAATGAGTTTCTTGACATAATGATTATATTCTGTGTGTGGATTTGTAACTTCACAGAAACATGTTTTGATATCAAATGCCATAGATGTCTCAAATATCATATCTTTCTGTGCTTAAATCAGGATTATTCAGTCGTTTTATATGGTAAAAATTACTTTGATCTCAAAAAGTTACTAATTCAATTCTATATTGTGCGTCAAGCTGAATTTTATATGATTGTATATCTATCCAGGTCTCTATAATAGTTTTGGTTGCCAAATTTTCTCTTTTATAACACTCCAGAATGCTATGACTTTAATAGTAAGGTTCTTCTATCTTTTTCATTATAAAAGAGGAATTAGAAACAACAAAAAAGTTTGCATAACAATCAGTTTTAAACAATATTGACATAATAAATATACCAATTGAACCACATTGTATTTATTCCTTTGGTTCTGTACTTTAATTGTTTATACTTTGGGTTGGCATTGTGACAAAGGTATATTTTGTATTTAATGTTGATCTTTGTATTCCTATTACATGATAGATATTTGGTATAATTACTGAATTCTCAAATGTTCAGGTTTTGCACTTATCATCTACCAACTTTCCTTATACCCATCTGTGGAAAAAATATTTGGACCTATTCATATTGCCCGCATCTCGGGGGTTAGTTTTCACCTAATTGTGGCAACCATTGCATTTCAGCATTTCATTTTTTGTTATTTGAAATATGAACTGTTTGATTCCATATGCAGATATTATCTCTACCACTTTTGCAAAGTTACCCCTTCATAGCATTGTTGTCTGGCTTAGCACTATTCATAGTGATAAGTATTGCCTCAATTCTGAAGAATATTTTGTCTGTAAGTGCAGCTGTTTATTTATTTATAAGTGATTTAGAAACTACAATTCAATACGATGATTCTCTAAACCTCAGGAGATCAGTTTCATTGATTCAGAAAAGTTTCTTTATGTTCACTAATTGTTTTCTTTCTATTGGATTTAGCTGACCATTATAACTGGTTTGTTCCTTATACAAAACCGAGCTGTGGTAAACTTTTAGATAATTTTGTTTTCTTCTGTTTCAATACAAAGGTTGAGATTAGTATATATGACATGTTGATTTGGAAAACAGGAACAACACCAAAGGGGGGCAGCTAATGGCATTTCTATGACAGGCATGTCACTATTCAAAGCTATTGGCCCTGCTGCTGCTGGTGCAGTGTGAGTGGTCCTATGAATTTCTTTTCAGCTTTTGTTTGACTTACTTGTCACTTTATAAAAAGTGAATTTAGATCTCAACAAGGGATTCATGTTTTAAATGATACTTGCTCATATTAATGTCAGGTTCTACCATATGATCATAACTTACCTAATCTAATTCATTTGTGACTGAAACTTCTAACTAATTTCCTTTATGACATGCTCCTTTTCATACCTAACATTTTGTTGACTTAATTGAATGATCAAGGCAGCCTGTTTCTTGTCAATGCACACCTTTGCGTGTTGTCGGTTTAATTCATTAGCAGTTGACAAATTTTTTCTTAGTAAAAGTTTTTAAACACTTACTTTTTTACTACACCTATTGAAAATTGGGTCTTGCTTAAGGAATTATAAAAAATTGTTTTTTTATGTAAATTTATTATTTTTTCAAATATTTATAAAATATAAAAATTTATTCATCCATATAAGTGAAGAGAATTTTTTTCATTTATTTATCTTTTATTTCAACTCATTCAAGCATAAATCTTTCTACTTTACTTTTACTCTCTTCTGTCCTTTTATTTCTTCTTTTTTTTTTTTTTTTCTCTATTTCACCCCTGATCCAATTAGCATTTGCCTTGAAAACTATGTACAATTTTCTTATATGATCATGGCAATGCAGATTAACTTGGTCACAGAAACGGATGGATGCTTCATTCCTCCCAGGTATGATGCTAATTAATTTGTTTGTGCTGGTTTAGCTTTCATATATGGTAGGTGGGAACTTTGTCTAAAATTAATATGAAAGTAAATAGCAAACTTGTTTTCAAATCTGTAGGGACATAAGTTCAAATATCAGATTTATTTTTGTCAATCTAAGACTGTTGAAGGACAAATGAAAAAGCAAATGTAGAACTGAATCACGTGTATTCTTTATCTATCCACTTCTCTGTGTTTGAGTAAACAGGATGCATGATAAACTACTGTATTATTACACTAAAACTGTCCAGAAAGTTTCCAATTTACAAAATTAATATTGCAAAACCTGATTTAATTTTTTTTTGTTTCAGATTTTTATGGATTAAACCCACATCAAACTTGATTGAATCAGGTTAAATAAGTCTACATATAAGTTGAACTTAAAAGAATTGCTTTGACTTGTGTAAAAATTGATTAATAACAAAAAATGAGTTGAAGAGTATGTCTGAAAGAGTGTTGGTAGCTTTTGTCAAGTTAATAAGAGCATCTACCTTTTGCTAGCTGTAGTACCTTAGTATTGTACATATAATTGCAGGCACCCACATGGTCTTCTTAGCACTGAACTTGGTTGAAGGACTTGGAATACTAATGATGTTCAAACCATTCCTTGGTGAAAAGAAGGAAACACATTCAAGTCAGATATAATGATACCAACAGGGCATGCGACATCTCCCTGAGCTGTGGTGTCTATTATAGGGGAAATTGATGGAAACTTGGGACAGTGATGATTCATGAAAAATTCATGGCAGCAATTTCTACACGTAACTGGCCACTTTTCGCCACCCATCAAACACAAAGAAAGGTAAAAAGAATGGAAGGAAAATGAAAAATGAATCCTACATTTTATGCTTCTAAAGTTGAAAGTGGCAGCACTACTTCCCCTTTGGTTTTCTATTTCATGCCCGTTTATAATTTCTTTCAGCCAAGTGTAATGGAATTTATCAACCACCCTATATAATCTATTTTTTTATATTGTGTATTTAATTTTTAATTTAATATTAATTATAATTTTTTAATTTATTTTTAATATAGGAAAGTTTTTATGATCAATAATTATAATATTCATTTTTTAAAATTAAAAATTAGTATAATATATTTTTAATTAATTATTTTAAAAAATTAATTTAATTATCCACACAGCACACACAAAAATATTAATAATTGAATTTTTTTTTAAAATGACTACTTAAAGCATTCGCTACCATCAATTGAGAAGTTGGAATATGTATATTCATTCTAAATATCGATCAAAGGTTGGGAATATAAAGCTGAAGAGTATATATGATGGCTAAGGCCAAGAAAGTATTAATTACGAGTCCCACAAGATTCGTATAAAAGGCTTTACCAAATAAAAAAAATATGTATGGAATTTTTATTTTATTTTATTTTATTTTTACACTTCCTCTATTTTTATTTTTTTTCATGATGTTTTTATTAAAAAAGTATAATTTTAAAATATAAATTCTAAAAAATTATAATACAAAGCAAATTTACACAGTAATTTATTTTTAGATGAATTAGTAAGATACCAGTGCGTAATCATAATATATTTAATTTAATAGTATCTATAAAAGTAAAAATAAATTTAATTATAAATAAACGAATAACGTTGAGAGTATGACATTTCTTTTAAAATTACAATAAAATAAACATTGATAAAAATTCTAACAAATTTTATTTTCTATTTAAATATCAAAAGTAACCCCAAAAATTTTCTGTAAATAAAATATTTTAGAAAACTATATTAAAATTTGTATAATGTATAGATAAACATACATTAACACTTTAAAAAAATATAAATTTAAAAAAAGACCATGGTGAAACATACATTTCTTGATATTGCAAGAATTTTTTTTTTAATTCACACAACGATGATAATATATAAATTATCTATATGTTATATAATCATAAAGGTATTAATTTGGCAGCACTTTCTGGTATTCTTTGTATATAAATTCTGTAAAATTTTATTTTGTTTTAAAATATTAGATATTTTCATACCTTTTTTTTTATAAAAAACAAAAAATAATTTTTTGAATCATATAAAAATTAAAGATAAAAATGTATAAATTACTCTATTATTCATAAATTATATAATTATAAAAATAATTACTTTATCTTATTTTTAAATAAAATTAAAAGTATATAAAATAAATGAGTTCTCATTTTAAAATTAAATAACCTTAATTTCTTTATTGAATGAAGAATATTCAGAAATAAAGATCAAAATCTGTTCGATCCAATTATTTTAAAACATAGTTTTATTTTTTATTTAAACAAATAAATAAAGTATTAAATTTAAAATAAAATGAAACTTTAATTTTTACATGACATCTTCCTCACACTAATTAAACTTCCAAATTTAAATATGATTAGCAGATTATTTTTTTCTGTTTTTTTAAGATTTTTTAAAAATTCTAATGATTATTCAACATCTCTTTTTCTTTTTTTCCCTTTCCAATTCATCATTTTTATATTTTCCCATTGTAGTCCTAATTTCTTCACTTGGGATCTTGATCATAATTTTGGCAACATTGGATGCATTACAATTACCTTCATTTTCAATTTCTACGTATGATCTATTAAATTTTTTAATATTAAATTTATATGAAAACATTATAATCATAAAAATTAGTCCTTAAAAAAAATTAAATTCTAATATCAATTGCTATGACAGGATAATAAAATTAAATTAGTCTTGTGACTTGTATTCACATTCACAAGTAGTTTAGGAGATTTCTATTTTTTATATAGACAAAACAAATATTATTAAAAAGAGTTCAAGGGAAACTCAAAACCCGTATACATAAAAAAAATTACTTATTTAAAAAAATAAAAAATAAAAATATACTTATACAAAATTAAGACGGAACACTATTTTTTATTATTTTAATATGTGAATACAAAACACTACTTTCTACTAATTGCATCACAGAAATATTTTTTTAACTATAATGATTCATAAGTTTTATAACAATCTATAACTTCCTATTACAGTATATCAGATCAATAGCAACTAAAAATTCAAAAGACAGCAAAGAAATTGAATGTACAGAAATTTAAGTATCTCATCACGTTTTAAATACAAAATCATATTTCTTTTTATTTTTTTTTCAAAAAGTTTTCAATCAACTCAGTAGATAGGAAGTTAATTATTTTATTGAACCGAAAAGTTAACTCCCATATTAAGTAGCATTATCGTCTTAATACAATTGCATCGTTCCTCATGTGCACTGTCTACAAATCTCCTTAACTAAAATAATGAAAAAGAGACAACAATTCATTTAATAATAATTAATCAAATGCACAATTTAGACGTGTCAAGCAAGTTAAACTCATTATTATTATTATCATTAATGACTTTTAAGTGTCAAAAGATAGAACATACCCAGCAGAAATAGTACATGATTGGTGCATTTTAATTACTTCTTGACATATAATCTAAATGCTATGAAGTTATCAAAGTGCAAGATGTACAACAAATGGATATTGAAGAATCAATGTTAAACTAATATTCAATAAACTGCAAAGTAAGCATAGGCTTGAGATAATCATCTTCCATCGTTAATGATACTTATTCTCCGACTGTTATCCAATTACACGCCCAAATGAATTTGGTATAATATTAATTCTTAATCTCCTCTTGTTATCCAACTATCCAATCAAAGCTTAGAATTTTGACATGTTGGACAACTTAAACTCCAAGATGAAGGATTTCGAGTGCATCATTTCTTCATGAGCATGGTCTAAATCAACATAGGTATGAAGAAAAGAATGCAGAAAGTACTTAATTTTATAGTAAAAAATGGTCTGCTGCAAAGTGCAAAAGGAAAAAAAAAATCTAAAAGCTAAATAACAGCTAGAAACACAAGATAGTTAAATATTACCTTGAGAAAGATAAGTCTACAAGATGGGTATTTTATTAAAAGGTTCTCCTCTCTACCTTTCTACATAGCGCACCTAATGGGTATTAGGCCTTATGAAAATTTACTTTTACATTACCTTTGTGCATTACCCTTTTTTTTTATCACTTTTGAATTAAGTTTGGAACGTATTAAACTCTCTTTCGGACCTTAAATTTTGGAAGGTGTAAAACCACTTTTCGAATTTAATTTTCAAATTTTTAAAATTTAATTTGTAAAAGTGTATTTCATTTCAAAAGTTAAATTTTTCAAGTCATGATAAAAGGATTGTGTAACTTTAAAATATACAAAAATTAATAATCTCCAACAAAACATAAAGTTAACTCTTAGATAATGCAAATAAAAAGTTATTAGGAAATACCTAAACTATTTGTGGAACAAAAAATTGACTAAACTATTTCGACCAAAAAACAAACTGCTAAACTATTTTGACCAAAAAAAATGCTAAACTCAACTATATTATTACTTGTGTATACCATACATTGAAAAACTCCTATAGATGCCAAATATACTAGAAAAATGCTCACAAGTAAACTTCCATATTAAACTTTATACCAATTGAATAATTCAATTTTTATTAGAATTTATAATTCTTTGTTTGAATATTTGTTTTTAATAAATTCAAAATTTTAAGAATTTCTGTTTAAAAATTGAACCTTTTCTGAAGCTGTTCATAGCTTTTGCATACATATACATTGAAATTGTTTCCAAACAATAACCAAGAAATGCATACAAACAAAACAACAATTATTCTAAGCAACATTATACAAGATAGAAGTTATGTATAATAATTTTTTAATAAGAATGACATAATTTAATGTAATTAAATGCATTGATAATGTTACAATTTTCAATAAAGAAAATTGTTATATATATTTTATTATGTTGTAGAATAAATATTACACAGATTAAAAAATCGATAAAACAATATAATGCCCAACTATTCAACAAACCATTTTGAATAGGAAACAGAATGTTTGTAACAAAGTTATTAGTCATAGTCCCTTGAGTCATTAGACATTGCTCCTCCCAAAGTAGTTCAAGGGGTTGGGTTGATGGAGACCGCAGAGCGACATGCACAACTACAAATTCGAGTTGGAGCTTCATGAGAAATTGATCTTGCTTCATGGTGTCATAAACTTTTTGAATAGTAGCAAGTGAATCTTAGGAGACATCAACATGTAAAATAGCTGAGTGTTCAACCTATAGATTGAGGAACATAGAATGATGTTCCTTGAATAGAGAGACTTTCATAAGGATAAGTAGCTATTTCAAATCAAACTGAAACCGTTTGGCATTATGCTAGTTGTAAATGCACTTCAAAATATCCTGCATCTCCTTAACAATAGAAAAGGAACGCACATCATTAACCATCATTTGAGGCTCAACGGAACCTAAAATCCAAGTAATTCAAGGCATTCTTTATTTCATTTCCCATTATTCCAACACAGAAACTTGTAGAAGTCTTGGTTTGTTTGATCCTTGTGAGAGCAACCCTCAAGGCCTCGAACCCCATCCATGAAAAATGAGAAGGGGATTAAAAACCAAGGCTCGAAATGAAAATAATTTTATTTTATATAATGCAATGACAAAATAGGTCCACATGCAAAACATCTATGAACAAATACAAAAGGAGAAATTTGAGGTCATTAAAATGCTCAGTGTGCGAGAATAAGAGCATGTTTCTTTCCATTCTTAAAAAGAAGTTTCTCTTTTCAAAAATAAAAACAAATATGCTCTATAGAAAATAGTGCAAGGAATCGGTATAAGAAAAAGGGAGAAATAAAATTAATAAAGGAAACTTAATGCATTCATTCTCACACATTACTAATTTTTGTTTCCTCTACTTTACATTTCCCAAACAGAGCAATTTTTCTGTAAAACAGCATTCAGCAATCAGAAATCCAAAGCAGTAGCTGCCTGAACAACTGGCTTAAACATTTCCAGTTTCAAATCTAGATCACATGCCTTTGTTGTAAGAAGCCATACAATTCCTTATTTATTTTAAAATTTGATAAAAGATGCATAGCAAGTAAGTAACTTAAAAATGGAAATAATTAATTAACAAATTAGAATGTGTTTTACAAAAATCTGAATAGCTAAGGATTTTGGGAACATCCAATAGACCCCTCAAACTGCTTTTAGTAGTGAAAACATTTGCCAGCACCAAGCCTGTGCACAGGCAACTGCAAGAAAATGTCAACCAAAAGAACCACGGCAATTTGATGAGCCACACAAGCATTTCTTTCTCCCTGTGGGTGCACTGCTTCTCTCAGCATGACCCGAACATCCGTAATCATATGTTAGCTCTGTCATTGGAGGAATGTGTCTAAGGGCAAAAAATGCAACGTGAAGAAAGGATTGACTGTTTTCTGCATATAAGACTGGCTGCCAGAAAATATTTGGTGAGCAACTATGATTCATGTATCTAGCCACATTTCCAACATTCTTGGCATTGACAATTAGAGGAGACGATATAGCATAATCCTCACTAGAGACATTTGAGCTTATTTCTTCCAATAAGCTAGGTTCATAATTCCATTTGAATGGTTCATAAATATGGCTTGTATAAAAAACATACTCATCATTATCTCCCCTATTCTGATTTACCTCGTCTCTGTCAATAACTTCTCCTGCATACTCACAAATAAAAGTACCAGCACGTATAGGATCCAGTGATCGAAGTCCCCACCCTCTATCTTTAGTTTTGAACACTTCCATTTGGTGCTTCAAACCAGTCTGGGATACTCGATTCTTGCAGTTAGGAAAACACTTACACATTGGGCCACACTCATGAACCAATGGCTTTCGACTCACTAGAACGCCATTTACAGTATATGGAAAGTCACCTTCATTTCTTTGAATGCAAACACAGTTCAAATCACCAGGAACGCACATCTTGTTACAGTTGCATCCATATGAAGGCTGCATTGAACTGAATGGTTTTGGGTGCTTAAGAGATTGGAAATAAGTAAAACAGGAAGGGCCATCCTCATTATCAACTTCATTGACAAGTGATACAGGAAAACTCTCAGCTCCTTTAGAGAGGTCTGTAAGAATAAGGCCAGGCCTTGAAGTGGAGTCTGTCTTCCACTTCTGAACCGATTTCCAAACAGAAAAAGCACTAGGTTGTCCAGGCAATCTAACAAACTTATACTTAAATACACCACCACCAGATTTCACTTTTTCTATCCAAGAATCTTGGATTTTATAAAGACCATCATATACATAGATTTTTGCACTTCTGTTCATAGCATCTCTCAACCCTCGGATGACTCTAACTTCATTGTGTCGTCGCGAACTTTTGTCTAAAGCAAGATTGCCCCTTTGAAGCTTCTGATCAGTCACATGCTTGTCTTTCTTGTTGAAGTTCTCACCCTGACCACTATAAATTAAAACATCACTATCCTCTGCATCATCATCATATACTCCAGATGAAACAATGCTTACAGCCACTGGTTCCCCCTGCAGCTCATCTTTGATAGTCATGTAGTCAATTCCACCCATTGACTGGCCATGTAAGCCTACAAGACACATTTCTATTCGCAAAAAGAAAATGTCCCCGATCTCAACCCCAGGCACTGCTCCTACTCTCTTCTTCGCATTAGTTCGAAACCCTTTGGCCGTCAATGCATTGCTTGCTCTTAAATCTGCACGCTTGATTGCCATCATGGTGTTCAACTTCTTGGCATCTTCAAGTTGGCAGAGCCTTCGACGAAGAGAGTCAAACGTCATGAGCACAAGATTAACCCCTTCGCGATCACCATCATCTCTTTGGGCCAGGCTAATACCACCAACAAAAGAAACTGAATTAGTATGCGACGCCTGAGTTTTCTTACTCCTCTTTTGGGATAATTTGCCGGTGTTCAAACTCTTTCCACTATCAGCAACACAGTTATCATTCAAACCCCCCATGGATGAAGATTTATCTCCGTTGGCTCCTTGAGGGGTTTCTTCTTCATCTAGTGGGTTCCTATAAGACCTTATTGGAGCCGGTATGGGAACAGGTGATGGTTGAGGTGTAGGTTCCCTAGGTTCCTCAAATAAAACAAATGGAGGAAACCCAGATGAGTACTTGCCAGATAGAGAAGATTCAAGAGATTTTGGTAAAACTGGTGCCAAACTACGTAGGGGTTTAACTTCTACAATCCTAGATTTATCAACAGAACCTGAAGCAGGAACAGAGTTTTGGCACAACCCTTCTTCCATTACATACCCTTCAACACAAAACAACACAAATCAAGCTTCACAACCTGGAAATTTCTCACCTTTATTTTTCTTCCGTCAAATATGAACCATCCCAACTCTAAACATCAGTTTTCATTCACTAATCAAATTATTCACAATTTCATATCAAAACCCAACTTGGAAACCTTCATCTTTCGGAACAGTAAAGCACAGAAGGGTCATGAAACATTGTAGTTGAAGATGCTGTTTTGGAAAATGGCTTGTACATGAAACCCAAAATGAAAATGGGATCAAAGAGGAGACTTTGTTAAGATACAGAGACCCACAATTAATAAGAATCTGAATATGAAAGAGCAGAGCTTTTACCAATGAAACATGTTTATCTTGTGCCAGTGCTCCAATGCTGAAGCTTTCCAACAAAGAACTAGAGACTGAGTGGCGACGCAGCAAAAGAAATATGTTTCGGTCAGCAATGTGACGGGCAAAGAAAATGGTTAAAAGGAAAATGTGATGAGTGAACTTTTATATTATTTAAATGAGAAAAAAATATAAAAAAGGAAAGTGAAAAAAAATATGAAGAAATTTTTCTTTATTTTTAATAATATTGAAAGTGAAAAGAAAAAGTAAATGATATATCCAATTACTGTTTTTAACTAAGTTGTCAAAAGTCAAATCAGGTTTGCAATCTAGGGTTTAACTTCAAATCATTTCAATTTGGACTTTAGATTTCATAAATTTAATAAAAATTATCTGCGTTTTATTTATGTCATAAAATAAAAATTCAACCCACTTCAAATTCAATTGAAGAAGAATTCAAATGAGTTAAGAAAAAAAAATCTAAAAATTAATTTGGACTATAAAATTTAGAATTTAAGACTCTAAAAAAACAGATTTTATTTTTAAAAATAGAAAACTGTTTTTAAAACACTAATAAACATACCCTAAATCTTATATTTTGAGAAATTTAATTGAACGATTTTTTTAATGATTAATTTTTAATACTATTAAATGATATAATTTTTAATGAAAATTTATTATATACAACTTTTTAACATGTATAATACTGTGAGATTAGGAAATTTATTAATTGAATTAATTTGATAAATATCTCTGGATAAAATCCTTAAACTTTTAAATTTTATCCAACTTTTTAGACATTTGTAACGGAATAAAATATGAAATAAGTTTATGAGTTCAAAAATTAAAAAATTTGTAAAAATTTAATAAAATTTTATTATGAGATTAGAATTTAAAGATGAGAAACTGTTATCTTTTATTTTAATAAAATTTGAAATTTTGAATGGTTAATTTTGAGTAAATAACAATTTAATTTGTAAATAATTTAGATTAAAAATAGGAATTTAAAACTTTAAGACAAAAGGAAACTAACATATTGTTTATAAAAAAATTAAAAAGACCAAAAATATAATTAAATTGTTTTAAAAATAAAATAAAAATTCAGTTCCTCTCTGTTAATCCGTTATCTTTCAATTTTATTTGTAAATTAGTATAATTTATAAAAACATTTAAAAGAGTGTGTGATATAACTTTGCATATTGTTTAGTTGTAAATAAGAATTAAGGGAGTGTAACATAAGAATAAACAAAAATAAAGTAATTTTTATTTTGTTTGAATAAAGAAGAAAAATAAAAAAATTCTTTCCAATTTAATTAAATATAAATATAGAAAATAATTAATTTAATTAAATATTAAAAGTCTTTTTTTATTACACAAGAGGAAGAAAAACTAAAAAAAAGGCAAAGAATTATTGTTGATGCCACTTGTAATTAGAGATAAAAATGGGTCAGGCTGTCCGTTAGGGTCCTATGACATAGCTTATTTATGACTTAAATTGGCTCAGCTCGTTTATTAAAAAGTTCAGTCTTAAGTTTTAAAAGAAAATCTTTTAAGCCTATTGGGTCGACCTAATTAAATAATTATATTATTTTATAATTTATATTTAATTTTATTTGTAATAATTTAATATAAATATAATTATTAAAAAAATTATATATATATATAATATGTAATGTATAAAACAATTTAATACTTATACTTTAATAATATAATAATTACAATTATACTATTAGAGTATCAATTAAAATTTACCATAAAAAATTATCTATTAAAATTTTATACATATTAATATATATATATATATATATATATATAAAACATAATTTAGTATTTAATCTATAATAATTATAATTATATTATTAGAGTACCAAAATTAAAATTTATCATAAAAAAAAATATAAATTAAAACTTTGTCTAAATTTTAAAATGTCTCAATCCATTATTAGAATTCATTCTTTTCTAATTTCTATTCTAGTCTTCAAATATTTTTCAACTTCTTAACCCTAATATAATTTTTTTATGTCATGACTGTATAAACTAAAAACAAAAGTTGTCTTTGACAATTGTTTGTCGGGTTCTACGTTCTACTCTCACTTTTACTTTTCTTTTCATAATAAATATCATAATTGTTAGTTTGGTATTTGAGATTGTATAATACAGACATGTTACCTTTTGAATTATTTGAGATATAAAATTTTTTTAGAGTTATTGAATATGGTCATGTTAAAATATAATATCTGTGAAGCTATTTATATATATTTTTAGCTAAATACAGTATTGGTTTGTTAGCTCATTAGCTACTAGCTCATTAGCCTATTGGCCCGTTAAATTTAAATTTTTAGTATTATTTGAAAGTTTTAAGGTTAAATAGGCTACTAAATAAACTATTGGACTAGGTCAAACTTCTAAAAAAGTCAGGTTAAGACTAAAAATTTGACTTATGTTAGATCATAGACTAAACTCAGACTCTAGTTTTATATAGTAAATCATACTCATTTAACTTTAAATCCAACCTAGTTTAACTTATTCTCATCCCTACTTGCAATGGAGAGATTCTAATGAATCCCCTTCAAGAAATTTGGAAAGTTGTGCAAGAGCTTGTCAATAATCGTTATTAATACACATTTAAAAAAAAATGTTAAGTACATCAAAATGATAAAGTATCTATTCTCACTAACCAATTTTTAGTTTTTAACAAAACAAATATCTTCTCTCAATATTGATTTATTATATCTTTTCCATAGTATTTGTTGTATTTTTAAAAATAATGATTTTGGAGATTTTGTAAAATCTCAAGATTGTGAAAAATATATGATATTATGTTTTCAGCCTCCATAATATTTTTGTGAAGAATACCGTTTGTCTAAAGAGAAAATGCCACATATGGATTGTGCACCTTAAGGTTGGTCCCAATGATTTTTAGGTCTAAAGCAAATTTTAAAATATATCTTTTTTAAATAATTAAAATAATATATATTAAAATTATTATTATATATTTTATTTGTGTTTTATTTTTTCTATATTTAAAGATCTGAAGTTATTTACTAAATTTTTATTTATTATTTTTTAAATAATATTAAAGTTAAACTATTTAATTAGTGTTGAGATTTTATTGATTTTATTTAATATGTTATTAATTTTGAATTTAATTATTGATAATGTTTCATATAAACATTATAGCTGTCCAAGATAATCAACATTTTATGACAATTTATATGTTGGTTACTATGTTTTTTTTTCATGATATTTACAATATTAAATAATAGAAAATATATATTTTAATTAGGACAAATACAAAATAAAAGTCTGATAATGAAATAAATGATATAGTTATCAATTAAGAAGATAAATCATAATAAAATGATAGTTTATTTTTTTAATTGAAAAATATTAATTGTCGATATTTTTATATAGTAATCAATAATATTTGTTTTTATGTAATAATTGATATTATTTTAGATTTTGTATTGATAATTTTTTAGAGGCTTTGAGAAAAGGCTTTATGTTTGGGCAAATAATCTGTGCATTCATGGTGTCTGCAACAAAGAGAGAATTAGACCTATATACACATTATATGTATATGAGATTAGGCCACGAAACTACTTAGTGTATGATGGAGTGATATTAGAAATTATGGGTTGAAACTAGTTCCCGCTGACTTTTGCATAGTAAACGTGGGTTCATGTGGATATGAATTATTATTTTCATACAAAAGATAACACATTCACTTTTCAAATAAAAATTCACATTTATTAATGAAACTCGAGAAGAAGAATTGAGTTTTTTAAGTTGTTTGTGAAATTGAGTTTATATATATATATATATATATACGAGAATAACGTGGTGTAAGTCTAAAAATTCTTACATTTAATCTAAATTTTTATTTAACTTAAATCTAACGAAAAACTAAAATTAAATGTAAGAGTTTTTAGACTTAAAGCGGTGTAAGAAAATTTTATATATATATATATATATTATTTCTTGTGTGGCTCTTGTTTTCTGGAACTAAGGAGGTTTTTATTTTGACTTGAGCAACAGTCAAACAGAAAAGGCAGAAGTTTCCAACATTATTGGCTTATTAATGCAACAGGGTCATAGAATTGTCAATTGATAATATTAATGCCTCTCACCAAAAAAATGATAACATTAATGTCTCGTTGAGTAAGTTATACTTTCAACATGGAACTCATTCCTGTATACAGCATAAAGTTAGACAAAACAAAAATGACAATCATGCATGTTTTTGTAATCTATATAAATATCTATATGTTTGTGTAAATTTATTCAATTTTGACTGCAAAAACTGTATGAACATAATGTTGACCATCAAGCCATGTTAGAGTCCCAAAATTGTATCCACCACGGGCATCCTTGGCATTGAATGAAACTTTATAGGTAATTTTCTGCACACCCTCAGAAAACAATAGTTTATTGGGGATGACATTGACAAGCAATCCCTCAGGTGCACGCACCTTTGCAGTGTATGTGGCATTAAGGTGTCCAACATTGGTAAGTGTTCTTGTGATTACTATTGCTTTTGGTTGTCTAAGTGCTTTTATGGATATTGATGGGTAATTAATGTTGGGGATAAGGTCTTCAGAAGAGTTCCTTGGGCAATTAAAGTTAGTCTTAGACATTGACCTTATGTTTTTCTTTGAATAGCCATAGTAACAAAGGAATCTGATATAGTCTTCAGCATTTGTTTCAAAGACTAAACCAGGGTTGAGAGCTCTGAGTGGATTAATCTGCCCAACTCCCATTTCATGTGGATTGGCAAAGTAGTTTGAACTGTTAGTAACAGGCTTCTTCAAATTGTTGTAGTTTGTAGCTGAAGAATGGAAGAGGAACACATCAGAGTAAGTATCATTCTCCTTATTTCTCACTAATAAATATCCTTAAAAGAGTAGAAAAGAATGTTTGGTTTGGTTTAGAACCTGTTGTCATCAATGCTGATTTGATCATTGAAGGACTCCATTCTTTATGCACTGATTTAATGAATGCTGCAGCACCTGTCACATGTGGGCAAGCCATAGATGTTCCAGATTTTATGCCAAACAAGGATGGTTTTTTCCCAAGTGGAACACTTCCCGGTTCATTACTTTTAGGAATCATGGCAGCCAAAATACCAGTTCCTGGAGCGATGACATCCGGCTGGACAACAAATTTGCAATGATGTGAAAGAAATATTGAGTGCATTGTTATCAAGATGCTTATGTAATGACTAGTGCTAAAAAGACATTCTTTTCAACGTACTCTCACTCTTAGTAATTAGTTAAAGTTTTTAAATTTATTAAAAACTACAAAAGTACAGGAGAAAAACAATAAAGTAGGAGTTAGAATAATAAATTAAGAGTAAAATTCACGTGATTTTTATGTTTTTTCATAAACTTTAGTTAATAAGTAAGAGGGTGTTTAAAATAATTTGTTACTAGCTTTTTTTTATGCAATTTGAGTAGAGGAATACTCTTTTGAGCATGTTAGTCAACAAATCTTTTGTGATTGGTTAATTTTTAAAAAAATTTATGTAATTTTTAAAATATAATTCGGGTAAATGCTTTGATATTTTAGAAAATGGATCAATATAGAGAGCATGCTCAAGAGAGTGTATTGCTACCATTTCTGTTTTGATTATATAGGAGTGTAGGGTAGAAAAATTACCTTGAGAATGTTCTCCGTAAGGCTTGAAGGACCTCTAGACGAGAAAGATGCAACAATTGGAGAAGGCTTATATCTATTGACTTCTATTGTTGGAAGAATTGTTGCAGTTGGTTTCCTAGAACGAAAGCACGATAGACTAAGCATACACTAGAATATTATTTTTCAACTTTTACATTGAACATGAAATAAATGTGTGTTTGTGTAATTATTTTTTGTCCTTCAATGAGAGTTGTTTAAACAACCACAGTTTATCATGCATTTTACGTTTGACTAAAAGCATTCTATTATCTTCCATCTTGTTTGCACATAGAAGATGGAAAAGGTTGATAATGCTTACTTGGTAGTGTTTATGTACTCAAGGATCTGATGCCCTTCAAGATTGCCAACCTCTGTGAAGGGAAATGTACCTGCATCAAAGGAAACATCTCTGTTGTCTTCGTCAATGAGTATCATCCCCATGGCTCTAGCATCTTGTAAGACTAGCTTCTTGATTCGCCTTGAAATAGTGGGGTCATCATTAACACAAACAACAATGTTGCCTGCAATTTTGTTGTAATCTAGTGATCCAGGATAACAGTTCCTGCATTTCAGAGAACAATTAACACACCATTTTAAGGTAGAAGCCTTAATTCCTAACAGCGGCATTTAGCTAGTATTGACGATCCTATTCTATAATATGCACAATCACAATTTGTGCTGCTTGCATAAATGCCATTACCTAATGGTATAATTTATTATTAGTAATATATATAAAAAGTAAGATCAATGTAAAATGTCAATGTTTGAGCACTGCTTGTACTCCTTTTAATATATTCTTTTGGCTAACAAAAAGAAATGTTAAATGTCAATGCATCTCATTTGTGTTGGCCTAATGAATCCTTTGTTGTAAGCTCTTGGAAAAGGAAAATGACCATCAAAATTGGAAGACATGAAATAATAACTCTCACTTATTATAGGTTCAAGAGGATGACAGTGATATGATAAGAATAAGCATAATTAGTAGGTACCTAGCTTCTGATGCAGGGGCAAATTTGGCAGCAACTTCCTCTCCAAAGACAAGATGATACATCTTGGAACGAGTAAGGTTTGAGAAGTTAATGCCTGTACCCTGACAACATAAAGGGAAAAATAATGTTTTTGGTGCATGCTAAGAAATAGACCATTCTTATTTTGGCTTGGAAGAAGAGACCAAGAAACCTACTCGGAAAGTTTTCCCATTTCCAAGGACTAGAGTTGATTGGTAGTTCCTATCAATATTAGAAGCTGCAACTGTAAATATCCATGGTGCAGTGTTCACAACTGTGTAAGGATCAGGACCATCATTACCAGCTGAACACACCACCAAGACCCCCATTTGTTCTGCATGAAATGCTCCAATGGCTATGGGATCATTCAAAAAGTCCGATTGGAATAATGAGCTAAGTCCAATTGAGATTGAGATGATATCTACTCCATCCCTTATAGCATCATCAATTGCCTTTAGTATGGTGGCACCAGAGCAACCTTCTTCTGAGCATGTTTTATAGGCAGCAATCCTAGTAGAAGGTGAGCCACCTCTTGCTGTTCCTTGTGCTAAGCCATAATAACTAGCATTGTTGACATGAGCACCAGCAGCTATTGATGCAGTGTGAGTTCCATGTCCAACAGAATCCCTTGGGGAGCCCTTGGCTCCTTCAATACGAGTCTGGTTGCCACCTGATGTAGCTTGAAAATTATAGAACCTTGCACCTATCAATTTTCTGCAGTTTTATTAAGAGAATTTAAATGTAGAATATAATCAATTTCCATTTTTGTTAGTGTCACTCAAAGATTATATAAATAGTTAGCAGCCTTTTTTTTCCAAAACATTTTTTATGAGAATGAATGATCACCTATTGCAGTTGGATTTCTTGAAATCATGACCTTCCATACAAATTCCTTTCCACCTTGAAGGAATCTCCCCTATACCCTCATCTCTGAAACTTGGGGACTCTGGCCATATCCCTTGATGCAGAACAAACATAGGAAAAATAAATTCAAACAAAACTGTTCGTAATTTGTAACATGCAAACTCCACAGTAATGTTTTTGCAATTTATGGATCAGTAATGGATGTGATTTGTGAAGGGTTTTTATTGAAGAGTTTCAAAGGAAAGTTGTTCAAACTTGTGATTGCACATTAAGTCCAGGTGCTGATTATGTTTCTTAAATTTGGGCTTAAGCATAACTCAACCCCAAAGCTAAATCGTAAAGCGATTATTACTTTAGCAATTATAAGTTCTAATTCGGCCATATTTGTAGTTGACGTGAGACTTCAACAATATTAATTTTTAATATTATGAACTGTTTAAAATGATTTTACTGCAGTTTTAGAAGAATAATTCTACATACATACATACACCTGCATTACCTTACATCTACATAATTTTCATCATCTAATTACGGTGGTCTACCTTGTTTTTTGTAGACTTGCACTATGATTTTGTCACATAATCCAGTGTGATGTGATTGTTCACATTTTATGTGTAAGAAGCATTATCCGTTTACTTCTAATTCTGCCTTCCCTTTCAATAACTTCTTTAAACTGCTAATATTACTTGGTTTACATTTCTACTCAAGCAATGAGATGGGAACAAAGGAGTGAATGAAAAAATTTGGCTACAAAAATGATGGCGTATGTGGGATATTTAACTCTCCGAAGAATAAAATTAAAATGTTAAAAAATAATCTATCCTATTACATCTCTAGGTTGTTTCAACTTTACACTATCTTGCTTGTGGCCCTAGCTTAATGAGACATCAAGGGTCCTACAACTAAGCAATACACGTTAAGACATGTTTCTACTATGGCTCTCTAGAGAAAAAGCGCGTGTATATGTCATGATTCATTATTAATATGTAGCTTGAGATGACAAAAAGCCAAAAAAGTAACTTGAGAAAATTCCCTTCAAGGATTTATGCAACTGTGGGGAATTTCGTCTGTGCTATAAAGGCCCTTTGATCTTTTTTTAAAGGGTATGAAAAAACCAAAAGGAGAAGTTGTTTTTTCGCACTTTTACGCACTAGTAGTTAATAATCACTCATTGTGGAGGAGAAAAAGGGAGGTTTTTGGGGAGTGGTGCCACCAATGTTAAGTTACATGTGCTTTGGGTTTTCCCTATTTCTGTTGGTTGTTTTGCAGCAGGATCTTGAATGCAATGCTTGAAAAGTTTTTAAATGTATGATTTCACTTTTATGTTTTAACCCCTCTATATTTTTCAACACACGCAATGTCTAGAAGGTCGTTTGCATAATGTATTATAGTGTTTGAACCAACAATATCCTAAAAACACTAATTAGGAAATCGATAGATAGAAAGTTTGATTAGAAATTATAGTTAGGATATATTAGTAACTCTGAAAATTATATTTTCTTATAAAAACATTTTACTCATACTCCTTTAATCAGTGTGTTTAAAGCATTCTCCTTATTGTTTCTCACTTGCTTTAGTATCAATCTCATACTCCACTTTGGTGTTTATATGTGTTAGGATGGAAAATGTATGGAAAGGAAATGAAACTGTGATGCAAGAGTTATATGGGAAAGGCTAATTAATTACACCTCTTCCATTTTCTTTTTTCTAATTTTCACTTGCCAAACTCATCATTGAGCATCACTAGATAGGTCTGCATTTAAGAGGCCATCCTCACATCCTCTGCTTTAAATATAAATTCAATCTTAAAGGATACCCATATGATATAACATACCAAGATAAACCAGTGAAGATTTCAGTAGGCATAAAGTGATGTGGAAACTGGGTAGTTATTGTGCATGTTTTTGTTTTCTCTCAAAACTGAAAAAGATGTGGGTAGCAATCAAAACAGCTAGCTTGTGGGCCACAATGAGTTGCCATTTACACACAATAGATGTTGATGCTGCAACTGTCTATTGGCTCAAAAGGTAGTAGTGAGTAGTGACAAATCAGTTTCACATGAGACCACCATATGTTTTGGGTCCATATCATGCTACTACGGTATGGTATATATCTGTCACCTTTCTGGCTTTTTAATTGTATATTTTCACAGACATAATCCAGAAACAAACTCTCTTCTCATGATTGATGGCTCATTGAATTAAATTCCTAATTGCTTAATTTCTCAATTTACTTCAATGCAACAAATCACTTTTAGGTACTGTCTTGGTAACTTGCTATTTGTTCACTTTATTTTTTTTTCTTGCTATTATTGTCAATTGAATCAAATACAGACATAATGTTATCATTCTTTGGTTTCCTGTTACTAGGATCAGATGCTTTGCTGAAATAGAATGCAGTATCCAATTTTATATTTTAAATTAATTTTAATGCAGCTTTTGGGACGATCAATTATTAAACGCTTTTAACAAACTAGCCACAAGAGTAGTAAAAAACAGGTAGAAGAGAAATTTAAAATTTTAGAAGAAATTATTAAAAAATCATTTAAAAAATAATATTCTTGAAATTTTAGTTTTTAATCGAATTAAACGAAGTCATTGATTTTTTTATTATTTTGGGACAATCGATGAGAGTAATTTTTTAGTTAATAAGTTTTTATACTTTTAATTATAGTAATTAAGTTAAAAAAATAAATTAAATGGGTATAGATAATGATGATTTTTTTAAAATAAATCTCAAAATTAGTCTTTAACATTGTGAAGTTTAGGTGGGTTTGTATCCAAAATTTATTAAAGTAGAATTTGGGTGTGTAAGAAGAAGAGTGGTGTCAAATAAAGCCACACGATGAGCCAAATCTAGTTGGAATGCACTTAAATTAACCTGTAATCATAAAAAAGAAGGTAATAATTTTTGCCATCCGTTTACTATAAAATTAAATTCCCTTTATTTTTGTTACTTTTTTATGCAAGACAATATGAAGTCATTATTTTAATAAGGGTAGGCCAAAGTATCCAATATAAAAACATGTTTAGCATATTTGCTGATAAAAAAGTATTACTCACATTAACCGACATTGAAGACTTATAAAAACATTTCTTAGGAAATAAGATAAAGACATTTGAAAATGACAAGGCATGCAACAAATAAGAATTATTGATCAAAGAAGAGGTATTATTAACTCTTACCTGTGTCTATCACAGCAACAATGATATCAGTTGATGAGTGTAGATGTGTGAGAGTGGCACGAGGCTTCATTCCCAAATCTGATTCCAGAAAATCCCAGGATCGAGTTGTATGCATTTCAAGAACTGGATCTGGGAACACTGACACCACACCAGGGTGCCCTGTTTACAAATCATGTTCCAATCAATGGTTACCACAAAGGGGCATCATCAACACTATCATCAATTGCATATAACACGTTATAATATTAAATGACTATGATCTTGATCTTGTTATTTTATTTGTTTATCTTGACATAAGGTTTTTCTACATGTTAAAATTAAAGTGGGAATTTGTGTAGATTATATGCAGAATAAAGTTTAAGAGAATATTAACAATTATCATGATTAGTTGTAAATAACATTTTCTATTCAAATATTTCTTAAATATGTTCAAATTCACTCTTTTTATTGAATTTAATAAAAAATATTAATAAAATTATAAAAGTAACAGAACTGAAATAATAGTCAGCATCGCTCAAATTTTATATGAAATGAACTCTATTATTTTTACTTTTATGGACAGACACTCGGTAAGACAGAGGCAATATGACTCTCAAGCCTATAAGTTTTCTATAGATTTTTTTTTTAATTTTAAACAAATTGTTAATTTAATCAACTTTGATATGAATAATTTATTAATTTAATTATTAATTTTAAAGTTTTTATTAAGTATATTAACTTTATAAAATTTTATATAAAAATAAAATCAACAAGTACTTCATTATATTACTTTATTTTAATAAATAACATATTTTTAAAATATGAATAAATATCAAATTTTTAATACCATATTTATAAATGTTTAAATTATGTAAAATTTGATTTAAATTATCATTAATATAATATAAGATAATTAAACAATTAGATTGATTAATCTTGTATTTCATAAAAAAATTATTATGTGTGATAAACATTTAAGTCTGACACTTAGTATCAATGGATCTGACTCTTTCTGTATAATTTATGATTATCAATTATTTAACAAAAATATTTTTATAAATATTATTCACTAAGAGTATTTTTAATAGTAATATCAAGTGAAAGTGTTTTTAGATACTAATTTTTTTATCATGCTAAGTTTGTTTATATTATATATTTATTTTTAATTTAGTGTTAACTTAAATTTTGAAACTTTTATAATTTATATAATACAATAAATATTTTGCATAAATAATTATAATATTCAGTATTTAATTAAATTTAAAAATAATTATATAATATAATTTAAATTATTTATTCTAAAAAGATTAACTTAATTTCATAATACCCGGAGAGTGCATAGACAAATTAATTTATAACTAAAATTTGGCCTGTAACGTATAAAAGGAATGTGCAGTTCTCAATACATTGATAGTGTAGCAGAGGAGTCAACCATCTTTTAAAAAGCACGTTCTTTCAGATCTACCTACGAAAAAATTATTAATCATAACGTCATATTATAACCTTTTTAATATTGAAAATTCGCACTTGTAATAAGCTCATATATGGTCATGCAAATTAACAATATTACCTTATTATTGTTACATCGATATGAGAAATTCACTCTTGTTATAAAGTTTTATGCACAACTTTTACTGAAACTTGTGTTACTCATGTTAGCTTTACTATGGTTATCGAAATAATTTATTTTTCACAAATCACCAATATGCTATTTTATTAACAAAGTGGAAATATTTCTAATTTTCTACAAAATTCGAGATGGAAATTAAAATACAAAACCATATAAAAATCTTGAAAAAGTTTGGGGTCTCATAAGAGAATTCACTTATGTTCAGATCTCTAAATTGTTGAACGTTCTTTTACATTCTTTTTTTTTATTATTATTATTAATTTTAGTTCATAAATATTCATGCTTTTATTTAAATAATCCATTTCTTCCTACAGTTATTGTCCATTTGTCTTTTACATCATTGTGAGTGTAGTTAAGGTTGGTGAGCAAAATTATTTATGCAAAGTAATAATAGATATAATAGACACCATAATTCACTTCCAACCACATTGCAAGTATATTGATAGCAGACAAACTTTGCTTTAAGCAAAAAAACCATATTCTAAAATGAATGCTCTTTTTTGCCTTGTGAATTAGAACTAAATAATGACCATAGAAAATAAAGTAAATTGGCAAAGTCTTCCCAACAGAACAGTAGAAAAGTCAATGAATCATGGAAGTTAAGAATTTGGAACAGACAAAAGGAGAAAAGGAGCTAGCAGACAAGATCAAAATACCAGACAGTGCAGAAGCTTCACTCTCTGTAAGCATGGCAGAGAACCCACTAAAGGCATGATTGAAATGGTGGATTAGAGCAATCCTCTCACTTTCTTTTCTGAGAAAATAGAAAAGAAAAAGAACATGTTCATTCCATAAGCTCATTTGGTTTCAATTGAAATTATGGTTATTGATAAAAGTGAGTAGTGTAGACTGTTGAGTATAAACTAGATAAAGATGATGATAATGAACCTTGGAATAATTGATGACAATAGCTGCAGATGAGTTGATTCTGGTATTTGGCCTTCTACCCCAATGTTGTTTGGTGATGAATTTCCCATATAAACAACATAAGGCTGCAGAGAATAAGGGAAGCTTGGATGAATCTGCGTAACAAAATAGGATAAAAACTAAGCGAGAGGGGAAGTGTGTGAATATATATAAACCTTGGGAATTTGATCTGAAATTGCTGTACTGCAGATAAGAAGAGAAGCTATAAAGAGGAGATGAAGGAATTGCAGAAGCCACTCCATTGAAGAGGATGAAATAAAGTGCTGTTAATGAAGAGAGCTACTCATTCAATCATCAATTTATAGGCTAGGTGTGTGTATTTGCTTGCTAAAAGGAAGCTTGAAGCATGTGAGAGCATCTTTGTCAATTCTTTTGCTCCACTTATTTATATAACTAACTACTCTTATATATTTTCTTCACTCTCTGCCTTTAACCAGTTCTTCCAACAGCTACTACAACTAGAATAAGTTTACCCATTAGTGCTTATCCACATCAATAAAAATTTTGCATTTATTTTCTTTTTCCCCTTTGCTAATATACTATTGTTAAATCACTGTATTACAATTAGGTAAAATAGTTACTAAAGGATCATCGATCCGCACAGTTTACCTATTATGACCACACATATCTATATGTACTTGTGTTGGATCCAAAATTTGTCCCTTCATGATCCCCTTTCAACCAAAATAATACTCATGAGTCATGACAGAAGGAAGAAAAGTGAGAATATTTTGATTTTAGGCAAATTCAAATGATATTAAATTACTCTAAATACTTGATTGTTGGATAAGTCAAATATTTTCCTTGCATACAAAAGAAGCCAAATTAATAATTTTGCAGCAGTCACAAAAGAAAAATGTTGTTGAGTTTTAAATCTCTTATGAAATATGAGATAAAAATAGACATTGTCTTATTCGTGTTTGGACAATTGTGCACATTGTCAATTAGAATTTATCACAGTCAAGTTAATTTCAGGTACCTGAATTCTTGGTAAAAAGAAAGGAAAAGCGAGATTCCAGTTACCTGTATAGATGCTCTCTCTTTAATGAGATGGTATGAGTGAAATAAAGCAAATCATATGCTTGAAATGCAAGCAAATTAGTCTCTTTTTGTGCAAAAGAGCTCGGAAAGAATTATAATATACTTCCTTCCATAGCCATGTGAGATACTCCTCTTTGTTTTCTTTCATTATCTTTCTCTCATTCCCATTAATTTCTTGGTCTTCAAGCGTTTTCTATTCTGATTGCTATCTTCTTTGTTAGAGGTTCTCTCTTGGGCTCTTTGGCCAAGGTTCTATGTCTACGTGAGTGCATAGTGCAGCTTTGATAATGTGTAAAGTATTGACTGAAAATTACCAGAATAATTCTAAGCTGGACTTTATTCCAATAAACCCCTTTAATCATCGCCTTACACAGAGGAGGCATGATTTATGTGGTGCTTAGTTAAGATGATTATTTTAAGGAACAAAGAGTTTAGATAAAAGCTTTTGATTCGCTACTTCCAAAATATATTATAAGAAATGTAATACTAAAAACACACTCTTTTAACACACTTTTATAATACATTATCTATGATTAAAATTTATTAAAAATTTATATGGGTCTTATTTTTTTTTTATTCTTAAATTAATGTTTCTTTTTTATGTTTTTTTAATTTTTAATAAATTTTAGTCATAGTGAAATTATGTTAAAATGTGTTGTTAACATTTCGGAGTGTTAAATAAGAATTATACATAAAAATATATTAATATTTAGAAATTGTTTCAAAAACAATTTTTTTCTTTTTAATTTTTTCTTAAGAAGCTTTTCTTTTTAAATACAAAATAAGTTAATAAAAACACCTGTTTAACCCCATGAAGCATACTTAATCTTATCGTGACAATGCAAGAGCCAATCCTCAAGGGACCCCTATTCTCTTACAACATGTGAACATTTGGTGGAGTGTGACAGAGACTAAGGTTAGATCAAAGTTTGGTTGTATTAATCTAACAACACCAACCCAACATGTAGTGTAATGAACCTATTCACCTAATTACTAATAACATAGAGGTTTGTTTGTCCGCTTAAATAAAACAGTTCCATTTATAAAATTGTTGTATATACAACTTTACCTGCTAGTTTACTCTGCTTTCTTTCACGTTCCTTCCCCCTCCCCTTTTCTTAAGGGCTTTTAAGTAGTAGATTCTCCTTCTCCAACAATAATAATAATAATAATAATTTAGAAACAGTTTAATTAAGAACATATTTAATAAACTCTTATTACGCAAAGGGTTATATCATATATTTAACTATAAAATTTCTTAAATTTAGTTAAAAAAAATTATTTTGATAATTTATGCAAAGAAATTAATTAAAATAAATTAAAAAGAACTTATAAAAATTGTAAGTTATTTACATAAATTCTTCTAAATGCTCCCTTAATTATTCGGTTGTGTTTCAAAGATAGAATAATAGATCGATAATACATAACTTTGGAGTCTTAGAATAAATTTGGCTTTGCCTCACCCAGATCAAGTAAAGTGCATGAGTGTTACTGTTAGTATATGCTTGGTAAACTTTTTTTTTTTAAACTAATTACTTTTTAAATCTTTCTTAAGAAGATTTTAACTAAAAATAGAGTAAATACTAAATTAAAATAGTCCTAAAAAATCATAGGAAATAAACACTTTCAAATTTAGAAAAATAAAAGTGAACATTTTAGTTGTCTCTCAAGATTACAAATGGGCTTAAATATGCTTTTTTAATCCCTCAAAATATATTGCATTTTGGTTTTAGTTCCTATAAAATTAATATTTTGTTTCAGTTCCTATATTTTTTAAATTGTTGATTTTGATCCTTAGTTATTGTTAAACAATGATGCACTTTAACTCATATTGTTGTGTCAATTTTTGTGCTACGTGTTACTCTTTTGAAGAGTCATGTAAGTGAGGGTAACCAAAATCAACAAGTTTTTAAAATATAAGGACTAAACCAAAAAATAATTCTGTAATGATCAAAATCAAAATGTCATGTATTTGAAGAGACAAAAAAATATATTTAATCCTTGTAAGTTACTTTAGTCCATGAGTGTGCTTGACTAAACATTTTGAGAGGGCCAGACAAAATGTTGTGTACAAAAGAATCAGAGTTAGTGAGATTTCCAACGAAGCACAATGGAGATTGCTCAAAGCAACGAAAAATCACTTTCACTCAAATTTCATTTGCAAAACTGAAACAAATGTTAAAATTAGAATCATGATTTGATAAGAAAGAGAGAACTGTACGTGTGATAAGGAAGAAATCTCAGATTGATAAATTCTGCATATTTATGTTGATTTGCATTTAACTGAAATGATGCATGGTAAAGACTATATTTAGAAGTATGATGGGAAATAACTAACACTGAGCCTAATTGAAATAACTGTAAGCACTAATTAGATACAATAAGAAATAATATCTCTAACACCCCCTTCAAGCTGGAACAGGAATATCAGATATTTGAGAGTGAGATGAAACAGGAAGAAGATGAAGCATGCCACTCTGAATCTTTTCTTGAACTATATGACAATTCATCTCTATGTGTTAGGTCTTTTCATGATTGGATTAGCTGTAATATGGATGAATGATTGATTCTTAGAAGATATGATCCTAAGAAAAAAATAGAAACCAGAAACTGAGAACACCTAGAGTATGTTTGATTTCTGTTTTAAAAATAGTTTTTTGTTTTTAAAAATAACTGAGTCACTAAAACCTTACACTTTGCATTCAGGGTCAGCACAGAAGAAAATTCCTTTGGCAGTTGAACTCTTTATATACTTAAGGAACTCTTGGTGCTTCTTGGTGATGAACTATAGTAGGACAATCCAGAAATTGACTTAGATGATGAATTGGACGGATGTATCTGGCCTTGTATTGGTGAGGTGCAATAATTGCCCAATGTGTCTTCTATATGAGGCGGGTTCAAAAATAGGTGATCCTGAGTTTTTGTAAATCTTAGTAGTTTAGTCCATTGGTGTAGAACAAGGTTTGGCAGCTAAGAGACCTGTATCCTGAAGAAGGTCCATAGCATATTTTCTTTGGTATAAGGTGATTCCTTGTTAAGTTCTGACAACTTCTAATCCTAGGAAGTATTTTAGATTACCCAAATCCTTAATGATAAATCTCTTTTCAAGGTATTTTTTGATGATTTATATTTCAATTAGAACATCTCCTGCTAGGACCAGGACCAAGTCATCTATATAAACCAATAATGCTGCGAATGTGAAGCCATTGATAGAATTCTTGGTGAAAAGAGAATAAGACTGTTTGTATCCCAAGTCTTGAAGTGCCTCAGTAAGCTTTCTATTCCACTGGTTGGTAGCTTGTTTGAATCCATACAGTGATTTTTTAAACCTTACATACAAGGTTAGAATCTTGGAGTTTCAAACCAGGTGATGGCTTCATGTGTACTTCTTCGTATGAATCTCCATGAAGAAAGGCTGTGTTTACATCTAACTGGTGGAGATACCAATTTTCATAGATGCAAGATAGCGGATCAATCTCACAGTAGTCATTTTAACCACTGGGCTGAAAGTTTCCAAGTAATCAAGTCCTCCAGTTTGAGTATATCCTTTGGCCACTAATCTTGCCTTGTCTCTCTTTATAGTGAATAAGGTAGAACACTTGTTTGTGATGTCTGAAAAGAATAAAAAAATGTGATCGTAGAATTTTGTATGTCTTGATACAAAAAAATCTGATTTTGACATCGTATAGGAGATAACCCTTTGTTCTAGGTTTTAGACCTAGAAATATACATTCCTTTGCTCTTGGGTCAAATTTCTTCCTATTGGCGGAGACGGTTGAAGCAAAACAAAGGCTTCCAAAATCTTCAAGCCTGAGATATCAGGAACAATGTTGTAAAGTACTTGATAGAGATTCTGATCTGATAAAAATTTTGTAGGCACTCTGTTGTTTAGATGAACTGAGTAACTCACTGCATTAGTCTAGAAGCTTCTTGGCAGACTTGAATGAAGCATTAGGGCTCGAGCAACACCTAAGATGTGTTGATGCTTTCATTCCACAATATATTTTTGTTGTGGAGTCAACACACAAGAAGTCTGGTGCACAATTCCTTTTGTCATGTAGAATTCAGTTAGTTTGAACTCAGCTCCATTATCTGATCTAATACTTTTCTATTAATTGTATCTCTAAAAAAGCAATAAAATGTTTATAAGTTGTGATGTTTCAGATTTTTGTTTCATGAAGTAGATCCTTGTATTTGTGGATTTGTCATCTATGAGTGTTAGAAAATATTTATGACCAAAACAGTGGGATAAGAGGCAGGACCCATATATCCATATGAACAATATAGAAGATACCATTTGATTT